TTGAAAGATTAGTAGCCAACATGATGGCAACACTTTATCTCGATAATTCAATCCATGAGATTCAATTGCTTCTTCCACCGCGAGGAAAGTTGGCTCTCTGTGCCGCACCAGGAAATTTTTCTCCCTGGACTCGATACTTCAAATATACAAAACAACCATTCGCCCTTGGATGGAATATTGCTGCCATATATGGTCTGAGGCACCTTCTGTTTACCTCGGAGTTCTTGACAAGATCCAGAAACGGATATGTAACGTAATTGGCCCTGATATGGCGTCTCCTCTGCAGTCATTCTCTCACAGACGCGCCGTCGCTTCTCTTTGTCTTTTCTACAAATACTTTCATGGTAATTTCTCCGATGAGTTGCTTTCACTGGTTCCCAGACTCCATGAATTCAAGCGCCCTACGAGGCTGGCATCCTGCTCCCACCCTTACACTGTAGAAAATTTTAAATGTAGCCGTCTCTTCTACTCCAATAGCTTCATACCTCGCACCTCTCGCCTGTGGAACACCCTTCCCAATTACTGTTTCCCTGAGAGATATAATCTCCAACTATTCAAATGTAATGTCAATCGACACCTCCATTTACCTTGATTTATCCACTATCCTTCTCCTCATCCTTTCTTCTATCACTCCTATCTGTTCTCGCTCCAAATCTTCTGCAACCCCCTGCATCCTAGTGGCTTCACGCCTTGCTCGGGGCTTAATGCTTAAAATAAAAAAATAAAAAAAGAATGTTAACTGGAATAATTATTTGAAAAAAATACTTTTTTGCAAAATTTCCAACCTTTCTGCATCTTTTTTTTTTTCTACATCTTTTTTTTTCCTGTACGTTTTATCCACCTTTTTTGTCTCTCTTCATCGCAGGAGTATTTTCAAATTAAACCATTTCTTTTAAACTGCCAGATTCATATGTGCATCGGGTTCTTTGCTTTTAACATTTGGTGCTGCACTCTATCGATCTATTGGACCTTTTCAACGAAATCGATTTCTATTGATTCGGAAGGAAACCACCAATCAGCAGGCTTTGCACAGTGGCAGGTTCAAAGAACCTCTTTATCTACACCATCTTGGAATGGGGGAAGAAAGAGATATAAATGTCAGCAATTTCTGACTTTGCAAATGTCTTGAAAACAAGTGTCCCGAGCACCTGATAAATGCAAAGAATATGAACTTCTTGCCCGTTTTCTAAACAGTTCTTTGACTAAATATCAGATAACAACTTCGGCTAATTTTACAAAAATGGAAATTGTTTATCCCCCTACAAATTGTAATAAATTGATATCAACAGGTTGTACAATAACATGCTAGTCGGAGTGTAAGGAAATCCTGTATTGTTCTGTACTTATTTTAATTTTGTAAAATCGAGCAAATTGCAAAACTGTCATCGTACCGGATGAATTGAAGCAGTTTTTTTATTTATTTTATTTTACACAATTTCTCCCGTCGATGGGGCTTAGAATAAGCGGGCTGTTTTCGTTACAGAAGGCTAAGACATCTACCTTCACCGGGAGCAACCACTTTCTTGGTGGATACTAGGAGATTGGGATTTAAACCCAACTAATGTCGAGCTATTCGAAACAAGATTTACACTAGTGTTTAAAAGTTTGAAGCCACCTCCAGAATTAGCATGAAATGAATCTGACAAAAAGGGGGGAAAAAAAGAAGAGTTCTTAGAGTCTTTGAAAAAAGAATGACATCAATTATCAAACTTATACACTTGAGAAACTTTTGCAACGAATGCCCAAAATTTGCAGTAATCAAAGCTCAAAGAGGATATTTTGACGGCAGCAACATTTAATCATAAAATGCTTTTTTTTTTCTTTTTGTCATAAGAAAATTTCTAATAAAACATCATGCCTCACATTTTTTAATCAAGTATAATAATTTTCTCTTATTTAAAGTACAAAGCAAATACTTTGGGGATCAATTTAAAATATACCTGGAGTTGCCTGAAACTTTTGAACTGCGCATATTTCATTAAATTATTTTGATTTTGGCATACCAAACTTTATGTATTATTTAATGGCGAATTCTAAATATTTTGAAAGCATTTGTTTGCTTTTCAGTTACAGATAAAATGTACTGCTGGCCAATTTGCTATAAAATGTATTGTTGGTAATTCTATTCTAAATAAGTATTGTTGGTAATTTTATTCTAAATAGGTATTGTTAATAATCTTAATCTAAATAAGTATTGTCCGTATTTCTAAATAGCTATTGTTGGTAATTCTATTCTAAATAGGTATTGTTAATAACTTTAATCTAAATAAGTATTGTTCGTATTTCTAAATAGCTATTGTAGGTAATTCTATTCTAAACAGGTATTGTTAATAATTTTAATCTAAATAAGTAATGTTCGTATTTCTAAATAGCTTTGGTAATTCTATTCTAAATAAGTATTGTTAATAATTTTAATCCAAATAAGTAATGTTCGTATTTCTAAATAGCTATTGTTGGTAATTCTATTCTAAATAGGTATTGTTAATAATTTTAATCTAAATAAGTATTGTTTGTATTTCTAAATAGCTTTGGTAATTCTATTCTAAATAAGTATTGTTAATAATTTTAATCCAAATAAGTAATGTTCGTATTTCTAAATAGCTATTGTTGGTAATTCTATTCTAAATAGGTATTGTTAATAATTTTAATCTAAATAAGTATTGTTCGTATTTCTAAATGGCTATTGTAGGTAATTCTATTCTAAACAGGTATTGTTAATAATTTTAATCTAAATAAGTATTGTTCGTATTTCTAAATAGCTATTGTTGGTAATTCTATTCTAAATAGGTATTGTTAATAACTTTAATCTAAATAAGTATTGTTCGTATTTCTAAATGGCTATTGTTGGTAATTCTATTCTAAATAGGTATTGTTAATAATTTTAATCTAAATAAGTATTGTTCGTATTTCTAAATAGCTATTGTTGGTAATTCTATTCTAAATAGGTATTGTTAATAATTTTAATCTAAATAAGTATTGTTCGTATTTCTAAATAGCTATTGTAGGTAATTCTATTCTAAACAGGTATTGTTAATAATTTTAATCTAAATAAGTAATGTTCGTATTTCTAAATAGCTTTGGTAATTCTATTCTAAATAAGTATTGTTAATAATTTTAATCCAAATAAGTAATGTTCGTATTTCTAAATAGCTATTGTTGGTAATTCTATTCTAAATAGGTATTGTTAATAATTTTAATCTAAATAAGTATTGTTCGTATTTCTAAATAGGTATTCTTGGTAATTCTTCTTAATAGGTATTGCTGGTAATTTGTTTATGTAAAAATGTATTGCCGGTATTTTTACTATAAAAAGCATTTTTATACTTTCATACGTTCTAGTTTTCGTTTGGGAATTCACTTTTTGCTCCTGGCTGGGACCCTAACAAGTGATAGCAGCCCTGTTCAGGGTGAACCAGGGACCAAAATCAATTAAGAGGTGGCTCCACGCTTTTCGAAACCGGCAATCACCTGATCAGAGGCATTGCTGCCGGATGTAGCTTTTCATCATGCCCAGGACTCAAAAATATTCAGTCTCGCAGAATGTTTAAAAGCATGACTTACCTGAAAGTACTCCTTAGTTGGCTCCCTGTGCCGCGTCAGGAAAATTTTCTCCCCGGAATCGATACTTCAAATATACAAATCAATCATTCGCCCTTGCAAGGAGTATTGCTGCCATATATGGTCTGGGGCACCTTCTGATTACCTCGGAGTTCTTGACAAGATCCAGAGATGGATATGTAATATAATTGGCCCTGATCTGGCATCTCGTCTACAGTCACTCTCTCACAGACGCGCCGTCGCCTCTCTCTGTCTTTTCTACAAATACTTTCATGGTAATTGCTCCGATGAGCTGCTTTCACTGGTTCCCAGACTCCATGAATTCAAGCGCCCTACGAGGCTGGCATCCCGCTCCCACCCTTACACAGCAGAAACCTTTAAATGTAGTCGTCTCTTCTACTCCAATAGCTTCATACCTCGCACATCTCGCCTGTGGAACACCCTTCTCAATTACTGTTTCCCTGAGAGCTATCATCTCCAACTATTCAAATGTAATGTCAATCGACATCTCCAGTTATTTTGATCTATTCACTATCCCTCTCCTCATTCTTTCTTCTATCACTCCTATCTGCTCTCGCTCCAAATCTTCTGTAACCCCCTGCATCCTAGTGGCTTTACGCCTTGCTCGGGGCGTAATGCTTAAAAAAAAATAACTTAAAAAAAAAAAAAGAAGCTAACTTCTTGTCTGGGAACTTGTAGTAATGGTTTTATATATATATTGATATCATTATCATTAATTTTGAAAGGACCAATAATTTCACTGCCCACAATACTAGTACAAATTATTACACCAAATCCTCTTTGTTATCTTCTAAGTTGTGGTGGCTGACTATTTCTTTGAAAGATCTAAGATGGAGCCCAATCATCTGGCCGATCCGATCTAGGGCTACAATAATATTTAATAAGTACTGTTAACAAAATTTGTTTTTATGTTATTATTATTGTTGTAACCTAGGGAAGGTTACTGAATAAAATAATCACACGAAGGTTGGTAATGAATGATAATACTTAGGACAAGAACAACGCATATAAGATTCGCCAGCGGCGCGTAGAAGAAGTAGTCAACTGCTAGTAGTGAGTCAATTGAATTCCACAATGGATCTCCAACTATAGGATATCTAACAACCGCCCCACGCAGTCAGATGTGACACAAGGCCGAACTTAATGTAGGGTATCCGAGCCCGTAGGCTCGGCCAAAAATTCCCTGTAGACCTCATATAAAACGAGGTCAGGTAGCTGTTTCCCGAGACGAGACTCTGCTCTTCGACATTGCATCGTCTGGGGATCCTCTCTGTCCGGAGGCAGAGAGTTTGACCTGCACAGCTGGAGACGAATCTTCAACAGCAGAATATCTACCAACCATGCGGTCAGATATGGCACGAGGCCGAATTTAATGTGAGGCATTATACATTTCTCTTTCGAGATGGGCTTACACCTCATCACATTGAAACACCAGTTCCCATACGATCACCAAGCTTAAGCAACGTTGAGCTTGGTCAGTACGTAGATGGGTGACCGCTTGGGAATAGGAGGTGCTGTAAGCTTTGACGTGTATGTGCCGTAATGTATAATGTCTCGAAATTGTTAATCAGAGAGCCGACTTTCATTTCCTGTTTTATTCGCTTTATTGACTTACGTGGAAATATTCTTGCGAAAGGTATGAATCCACCTCTTCTCTCCCCAGCTATCGGTTAATTAGTAAGACTTGTATGACTAAACCATTATTATCTAAAAACATTCTTACAATCTAAAAATCCTTTCTGTTATTAAATAACCTGCATACTTGGATGAAGCTATGTCGAAGGGCAGAATCTTGTCTCGGGAAACAGCGACCCGAACCCGTTTTATACGAGGTCTATGGGAAACTTTGGTCGAGACTATGGGCTCGGATACCCCGCATTAAATTCGACGTTGTGCCACATCTGACCGCGTGGTGCGGTTGGTAGATATCCTGCAGTTGGAGATTCGTCTCCAGCTGTGCAGGTCAAACTCTCTGCCTCTGGGCAGAGAGGAACCTTAGACGAGGCAATGTCGAAGGGAAGTGTCTCATCTCGGGAAGCAGCTACCCGACACCGTTTTTTATACGGGGTCTACGGAGAATAAGTTGGAGAAAACGAATCAGTCTTTTCTTAAAGATGATAGTTTAATTATTTTCATCTCTTTAGCCAATGTTCTTAATATTCTGCAACTTTTCTCTTTGTTTAGATTCGTAACACCAGATTATCTTTTGGTTCTTATTCCACTTTTTGACTTATTACCATTTTAATTTTTCTCAAGTTTATTTTTGGAACATTCTAAATGTCAATTTATTTTGTTTCTCTCTTTCCACTGTTTTCAATTCCGTTTCTGACTAGTCTTTGATCTTTCTTTGATTTTTCATCATTTTCGAAAATTATGTTCGCATAAGTCAATAAATTTGCAATATCCTGTCTCTAATTTGAAGGATATATTTTTCTGGTGATGAGGCAATTTTTTATATTTTTTTTAAATTAAAAAGATAAATATCAGAATCTATATTATTAATTTATTTAATGTTTTCAGACCCCGGCATGGAAATAAAGCCACTAAGACGCAAAGAATTTCTGAATGTGAGAAAAAAAAAAAACAAAAACTAACTAAACAATAAAAGAACAAGAATTAAGAATAGCAAAGATAACGAATGGCACTGCATTAAAATCTTTGGAGATCAAGGTTGGCTGGAAAGCAAGAAGCTGTAATAGAGTTCCACAAGTGAGAAGTGCTACAGAAGAAACCATCAGCATAGAACTTACGGTTACATCTAGCCATTTAAACTGTAAAATACGTATATTTATTTACATTATGAGGGACAGTCCTCGAGTTGCATTATAAAATTTGACGCTACTGAATAAGTAAAATTCTTTACTCATTTCAAATCCAAGCAAGGCAATACAAGCCAATAGGATGCAATAAATTACTGAGAGTGCCCCACCCACCAAAAAAAAAAAAACAAAAAAACAAAAAACAGAGAGGACAATTAAGAGGAATCAAGGAGACGGAAGATGACGATTGATATTGCATTTAACTTTTTGAAGATCGTAATTTCGTTAGAAACGATGAAAAGATTACTGAACTGAGAGTTTTAAAAGTTCTACCGGGATTCATTGTTGGTGACCACAAATCTGAAGGGCAGATGATATGCAGATGACACGGTGTTGATAACAGTCACAGAAAATAAAACCACAAGAACTCCTACAGAAAGTTGTGAAGGAAGTCGAGAAGAAAGGATGAAATATCAGTTGCAAGAAGACTGAATATATAGTTGTTAGCAAAAGGGACAACTCAAACTTCAAATTACAAACTGGAGATAACCAAATCAAACAAGTACAACAATTTAGATATCTGAGAAGTGTTTTAAGAAAGGACGGAAATTGTGAAACTGAATTCCGTAGGTGCATTGTAATAGCGAAAGAAGCCTTTCAAAAGCTAAGCAACGTATTAAGAAACCAAAAAAAAAAATCGTTAGAAACAAAAAAAGAGGACTGAACTCTAACGTAATATCAGTCCTCCTACAGCGGATATTGTCGCCATTTTATATTTTTAATTTGGCGCATACGCCTTGTTTGTTATTTGATTTTGTCGACTGCACTGCGTAAGAGGGTCAGTTGAGCACTCTCTGAAAGAAAAAGAGCATCATGACACAATTCACCCCGCTAGAAATTTGGAAACAGCATGCTATACTGCTTGCCATTTGCGCCTGAAACTCCAATACGAGCATTTCAGGGTGTTTGGGTGTCAATCTGAGGATAATGCAGAGGACACGGAAAGAGTTGGATGAGTCAAATCGTGATCACGAATGTGTTTGGCGTGGTCACTAGTAATGGCGACGTTATTTCTGTGACCACATCAACCCTTACATCTGGCCAGCTAACTCCCCAAACTGCAATTCCCTTGATCATTATGTGTGGGACACAGCTGAGCGAGAGGCAGAGAAACTCCTTGTAAGCACCAAAGATGAGGCAAGGATTATGGCAGCATTCAACATCTTAAACAAAGGGGAGCGACTAGAAGAGTTACAGGAGATTCAGAACTCATGTGGATGCCGTTGTTGAAGCCAATGGCGATTTTATTGAATAAATTTATTCTTTACTATTTCAAGATATTTTTGTATAATTTTGGTAAATATAACTGTTAAAATGAGATCAGTGTTATTTTTAATTTTGTTTTTTTTTGTGTCATTTAGACGAACATTTATCCATCGAACCATATATATATATATATATATATATATATATATATATATATATATATGTCTGTCTATATTTCTGAGATGAGGTATTATGTACAGTATGGATTTCTAAAGTCTCCGCTTTCATAATAATTACTTGCTCTGTTCTTACATTGAGCTCTTTTGGACATATATCCTCTTTGGAATTATCCATACGAATTATCAAATATATATATATATATGTGTGTGTGTTTTTGTGTGTATGTATCTATGTATACGTACGTTAAATATATACACTCACACGCGCACACACACACACACACATATGTGTAACTGCAGAAGAAAGCACGTATGTCCCTTAAACGGTAATTGCTTGAGGAACAGTGTAATATACGAAGCCACTATATATATATATATATATATATATATATATATATATATATATATATATATAACTCTTCAGGCTAAACCTATGCTGTTTTCCAATGACCGGTGAAAGGTATTTGATACATTTATGATTTCTTGTTTCATATTTTGTCTTTCACTGCGACATGACGTCAGAAGCCAGTGTTTTGCGTCAGTGTTCATCTGACAGAAGAGTGGAAACACACTACGCCAGTCGTTTGTTTTTGTGATTACTTGAAAGCAAGGAAACAAGATAACTTCTTAGATGATTTGAAAAAAAATATATTTGACTTTTGTAAAGTTGCCAAAAATCTCCCGGTGCCAAGTTGATGAGATGAGATAACATAAAGCCTAGAAAATATGCAGTTAAAGAGAGAGAGAGAGAGAGAGAGAGAGAGAGAGAGAGAGAAAGAGAGAGAGAGAGAGACTGAGAGATAGAGACATAGAAATAAAGTAGAAGGAAGAAGAAAGCGAAGTTTTGAAAAGATATATATATATATATATATATATATATATATATATAAATATAAATAAAGATGAATAGAACTAAGAAAATGTAAAAGGGAGAGAGAAAGAGCGAGAGAGGGTAGAGAAAAAGAAAGTGAAAGTGAGAGATATAAGCTAGTGTTATGGTCCAGGTCCTTGTACCCCGGGAGATGGTCCAATGTAGAACCAATAAAGAAGAACTCGAACACGGATATGGAATAACACAGTAACAAAGTAACGAACAATCAGGTTTAGTAGTAATTGTCTGAACGCTACTCTGTTTCGGACTGCCTCTGACTCGACTGACTGACTCGCTCGCTCTGACTGACTGACAGACTCCGGACGGATTTCTGACGGACCTCACTCCAAACTTCAGACTGAACTCCCTGCTTCCTCTTGAGGCGCAGTATTTATTACGTATGGAATAGTCCATTATGTTATTATGGGTAAGGTCCCATAACAGCTAGAAGAAAGAAGAAAGTGAAATTGTGAAAAGAAAGAAATCTATAGGTAAGGATGAATAAGATGAGGAAAATGTGATGGATAGAGAGAGATATAGAGAGAAAGGGAGAGAGAAAGGGAGAGAGAGAGAGAGATGTAAGACAGAAACAAGAGTAGTTGAGAAAAGAAAGCGATGTAGACGCATAGATAAATAGGAAAGGGAAAATGAGGAGAGAGAAAGACAAGAGAGAGATAGGGTAGAGGAAAGAAGTGAGAAGTTGAGAAAAGAAGAGATATAAAGACAAAGAGGAATAGGATGAGAGAAAATTTGATTGTGAGAAAGAGAGAGTGAAAGCGGGAGAAAGAGGAGAAGCGAGAGAGATGGGTAGAAATAGCGGGCGTGAAAGATCATTTTACATCATTTTAATTTTTTTCAACAACCCGGTCTGTGAGTTCTGGGGAGGATATTTAAACTTCTTCCTTGCTAATGGAATATCAAGGGAATCAGGACAAACCGATCGCGTGTGCGTGATATGGCGTGACCTAGCCTGAATGTCTGGACGTGTGAAAGCAAGTCATTTATCTCGTTTATGAAAAGAGTCATAGATTAGTGGAAGGCTAGCAAGTTTTGATCTGTGCGGAAAGGAGTTGTAGGGTGGAAAACCAAATCCTCACCTACAGGTCCGCGCAAACTTGGAAAGTAGAGATTGGGGTGTTGGATATATACGGTTGTAACAGAAAAATTGTCCAACTCGTGTAACAGCAAAATCATCCATTCCACACAATGTTTAATACACCCCCCCAAAAAAAAACTGAACTGAGTTTCTTTTTCCAAGTATTCAGATAAGACATTAAGCCGTTGTGACACAATGTTTTGTAAGAATCACTGAAAAACCCTTCAGCTAGAAAGAAAGCAGGTTAAAATCGTTTTGTGTCAGGTCCACCGCTTTTATAAATGAGCAATGGTGAGAGGGAAAAGTTCATTCGGGTCTTAACTAATGGTAACAAATTTCATAGTTTGGCT